CCAGTGGTGGGATTCAAAAAAAATTACTACCAGTTCTGTGGGTGGGGCTTGGTGGATGTGGCAGGGGAAGGATACTGCAAAATCCCCATTCCCTCCCCACCCCACTAATCTGCTTTCCAGCTCCGTTCTCCTGTGCAGGGCAACAAAAGAAGACCCAGCCAATCAGCTGGGACTCAGGAGGCAGAGAATAGATGGGGGTGGGGCCAGTCAGAGGTGGCATTTGCCGGTTCTGCAAACTACTCAAAATTTCCACTACCAGTTCTCCAGAACTGGTCAGAATACCACCTCTGCTGTATTCCCTCAGGGAGCAGAATGTGTATTTGTGTGTGTGTGTGTGTGTGTGTGTGTGTGTCTAGATCTATGTTTGTGCATATCTTCCATTTTATCTTCACAACTCTATAAAATGAGTTGAGTGAGTGTCCAAGGACACTTAAAAAGGTTCATGCCTTTGCAGACATTTGAATCTAGATTTCCCTCAGTTTTCAAGTTTATTATGTAGGTAATGTATATATATCAAGAGGTTAAATATTTGACTAAGACTGATTGTGAATGATTGGCCCAAGATCATCAAGCTGAGTTCCTAAGACAGGACTAGAACTCATGGTTTCTCCATTTCTGGCCTGTTACTTTAACTACTGCACCAAACTGGTTCTCGTTATTATATTACTAAGATTTAAATGTGTCTGTTGTTTGAAAAGTAAGTTCAACAAAAATCATCATAAAGGCGGGATCCCCAATTATAACTTCAAAAAAGGCAACTAGGATCTTATAGACAACGCTCTCTCATCTCTTGATTGGCAACATCTATTAACTGGATGCAATACGTATCTGATATCAATACAGTTGAGAAAGTCCAGAAATATTTCACAGGAAGAGTTCTCCAGTCCTCCACTCTTTGAAAAATACCTTATGCCACCAGACTTGAAATTCTAGATCTAGAAAATCTAGAACTACATCACCTTCGGTCCGATCTAACTATAGCATATAAAATCGTACATTGCAATGTCCTACCTGTCAATGAATACTTCAGCTTCAACCATAACAATACAAGAGCACACAATAGATACAAACTCAAGGTAAACCCCACCAAACTTGATTGCAGGAAATATGACTTCAGCAACAGAGTCATCAATGTCTGGAATACTCTACCTGACTCTGGTTTCTTCCCCAAACCCCAAAAACTTTAACCTTAGACTGTCTACTATTGACCTCACCTTTTCTAAGAGGTTTGTAGGCGGTGTGCATAAGCACACCAATGTGCCTACCATCCCTGTCCTATTGTTTCTTTTAATTTTTCTTATATGTATCCATTTCATGTATTCATAACTATGTTTATACTTATACCTGTTATCTTATAATTGCTTGACAAAAATAAATAAATAACTAAAAATAAAAAGGACTATCATTATCAAATGGAAGGTAAGTTTACAGTCCACAAGATTGCCTGCATTTTAATACTATTAAATAAAGATACTCAATTCTATTTAATAGAAATACAAAAAATGTGGCTTTTATTAGCTTTAAAATGTGCCTCTTCGGATTTAGCTAAATAATTTATTAAGCTTAAAAGCCATTCTTTTTTTTATTTTAAAATGTCAGTGTGACCATTCATAGATAGTAGAGGTCAGCTAAAAAATAGCATGTGACCTCCAGTTTTAGCAGAGGCTCCCAGCACCTCTTAAAGTGGAAGAAACACCCTTCATTCCTTACAGCACCACAAGATCCCATTACAAATATTCAGTGGCAAAATGGATAAATGTCAATCCTTGATCATGAGTATCAAAATCGATTGCATCATGGGTTGGATCGTGACATAGCACGATGTTTTTTGCCTTTGCGGAGCTGGGGTGGGCATGTGTCATATCCGGCCCGCGGGCTGCCAGTTTAACAGACCTGCCTGAGATCATCATTTGGACCCAGTGTTGGAATTTTTATGGAAGGAATACAGGGTGGAAATGGAGAAGGAAGATTCTGGAAGGCAAGGTATTTCCAACTCCATCTCTAAAATTTCAAAGGCTCTACCTTAGAGGCCCCAAATCATATTTCTGCCAGGAACTGTGTATTTGTGGGATTTAAGGTTGGTGATGGGAAGAGTTTGTTCCCAGATGCCTCCCACTGCCTCCTATCCTTAATTCTGTATATTGAAATAAGTTAAAGTAAAAAGTGGGAATAGGGGGGGAAACCCAGCACAGTTGTTCTTTTCCTCTGATTCCACTTCACGAAATGTAAGGTGATTGATATTTTACAAGGAGAAGGAGGACACAAATAAATTGAAGAAAAAACAAAACAAAGCCAATTGTGCACGGCGCACTCTCTCAAAATAATTCTCCTGTGTGGAGCACATGCGTCTCATAATCACGTCTCGCCGCACTGTAACGGGCCTTGATGAATCATCATGTCAAATACAAATACGTCACATCACACACAACGGATCAGATCGGCATCGATCAAATACAGAGATTTACAGATTAGTCTTCAAATATCAAAAAGGAGGACATGTAGGAGGACACTTTTCAAGAGAGGACAGAACCTACAAAAGAAGGAGTGTCCTCCCTAAAGGAGGACAGTTGGTCACCTTACCAAATGGTCTCCTTTGGCCCTCGTCACCCTTGAAAAATTGAAGCTTGGCTGCTAATACTCTAATCGGTTTCAGATTTTGATTTGTCTGACTGTTGAACTGTACTCTGATCCACTAATGAAATGATCAATCTCACCTTTACAGTGAATCAATATATTTAACTTAGGAAATTCATTAACAGGTTTCTTCACACAAACCATAATTGGGAAACTCAAAGGTACTTCTTTTATTTTCAAAAGGCAACAGGATTCTTTTTTTTCCTTGAGGAAGAAGAAAACATTTCAATTCTCATCCAAGAAGCTTCATCAGTTGTGACTGGATGGAAGGATGGGTTCTGACAGGATGGGATGGGGGGAATGGAACGATTATATTTGTTTGTAGTCATCTGGTCATTAGCACTCTTTCTGAGAGCCGTTGAGGCTACTTGGGGGTTACCTGAATCACAGTCCAAATGATTCAGGTGACCCCCAAAGGCACAAATAAACCCCCAAGTGGCCTCAACAGCTGTCAGAGAGAGTGCTAACAACCAGATAACTGCAAAAATATATCATCCTTCCATTCCCCTCCCCCTTCCTGTCAGAACCCATCCTTTCATCCTCCCATCATCCAGTCACAATTGATGAAGCTTCTTGGATAAGAAGTGAAATATCTGCTTCCTCCTCCTCCTCCAGGTAAAAACAGTCCCATTGCCTTTTTTTTTTTAAAGCACCTTTGGGACAACTATGACTAAAACTCTCCATAGACGTGTTTGGGAAAGTTCTCTTGAGGCTGGGAAGGCTGAGGATGGATCAGTTGATGGATTATTTATTTACAAATGGCAATTTAGCCCAGGCAGGAAGACATCTGAAAAACTAAGCATTTCAAAAAGATTCTACCTTTATTGACTCATTATAAAGGAAGCGTGGAAATTCATATTACAGTTGTGATTAATCTATAGCTACCCGGGATTACCATTAAAGGTATTGTGCTAAAATCCATGTTCTTGCTTCCTTGCCAGGCAAAGGATAAATCAGCAGATACCAGCCGAGCCTGGGGGTTGCTAATTTGCTCAAAATATAAGGCTACAAATTCTACCTATTTGCTCTTCATTCGGTTTCTCTCTACTCCACCCTCTTAGTCATGATCTGGCTTTGTTTCTCTGTGAAAAATTAGAAGCTGTGCCAAAGTTATGTGCATGGATACTGAAACCAAAAAGGGTTGGACCATCTTTTTGTGGCCAGGAACTGCACTTGATATTATTTTGTGGGCAGTAATATAGTACAAATCAGACCATATTTTTCTTTCTTTGTTTTTTAACTGTTAAGCTAATGTTAAGATTTATGTGATCTCTGTGAGACATACAAGACTGGACTAGAATGAAACTTGCAAAATTGTATTTAACCAGAAGAACAATGTGTAAAACATTCAGCAGATAATGAGTTAACTACACGATATGAATTACCCCAATCATTGAAAACCAACAGTCCCCCTTTGTCCAAAGTTGATTAAGCAGTTTTTATTTGCAATTTTATAGTAAGCCAATCTGAATGCTACTCTGATTTCTCAAAATACTAAAAGCTTCCATTATTTGCCAGCAGATAACTCAATTCCAATTGATAGCACAATAATAGTAACTGCCAACTTAGAATTTGCAACTGTCCGTATAATGTGTGTGTGTGTGTGTGTGTGTATGTGTGTGTGTGTGTGTGTGTGTGTGTGTGTAGTTTATTTCTTGCCCAGTGGGGTGTTCCAGTTTAACCAGAGAAATTAAAATATGGAAATTGTGTTTAGCTTACAACTTTTGTACGGATCGTACTTCAAACTAGCAACAAACCATGCAGCTGATTTTTAATGATCATTGTGCTGGAAAAATATGGAAATATGTAGGTGCAGATGCAGGGGGATCCAGGAATCACAAAAAAATGGGAGCATTTGGAGATCTAGAATGCAGTTTATTCACTCCTGTCTACCTTATTCCCACTTTTTGTTATCACAGCAGTGGGAATGCAGTCCTCCTCACAATATCTCAATATTCTGTACACACTTACCATTAATGGCTTTTGCCTGCCTTTAATTCTCTTTCTTTCTTATGAAGGCATCTGTACAGAATATGGAAGATGGCCTGAGCAGAGATATGCAGGAACCACTACCTAAGCAAAAGGGGATAAAACTTTTTAAAGTCCAGAGCAATGGGATAGTTCAGAATTCAGAAACAGCTCAGGCAGATACCTGCCTAACTCACTGAATGATAAGAAGATGAATTCAATCAGATTTGGAAGATTCCAGTCTCTGGAAAAGTACAGTTGTAGCCTTCATGTGGAATTGGTTTGCTGGATTGATCTACCTAGTGGGGAGCAGGATATACGACACCCCTGTTGTCCCATGTGCTAACTGAAGTCTATTCATCTCAAGTCATATCATCTTCAAATGTTGTGCCTTGCAGGAAGACGCTGACTCTTCAAAGACGAACAGTAGTGCATTAAGAAACAGAAACTTAGAAAGAAGTAATTCCCTTCAATCTGACGAGGTAAGAGGAAAATGGGTGGGTTCATAGGCCACATTCAGTCATGATAAATTTTGTTTGTGTTGGCTTTGTATGTTGATTTAATACACTGTGTTTTTCTCTGTTTGTTAGTGTTCATGCTACAGTTGTTTTAAATAAGTAGTTTGGGAACGGGGAAGGAACCAGAATATATGATTGTGGCATGGTGAAGAAAAGTTGTAAGTTTTGGGTAACCTAACCCCACCCTGTCAATCAAACATACCTAAAGATTATTAAGATAACTGAGCAAATGTTGGATGGTGAACAGAGAACAGACAGCTTGAGAGCACTGAGAACTGGAAGGCGAGTTTTCTTTGTATCTGGCCCTTGAAGACGAGCCAAGGGAATAAAAACACAGGATTGATAACCCATTTTGCTTTCTCTTCTCCTAGCATGAGACAAACATCAATATTGACAGTGAGCCACATGGAAGTCAACCTGAATCAGAAGAAAACAAGAATCTTGGGTGCAAGGGGTAATAATTTCATAGGAGTTCTCCACCGATTAATGTCCCCCATCAAGTGAAGTTTTAGTGCATTCGAAAACTGAGTTCAGTTTTCGGCTTCAGAATTCTTTTCGATATGTAAATAGCAATGGTGGGATTCAAAAAATGTTACTACTGGTTCTGTGGGCATGACTTGGTGGGCGTGGCTAGGGAAGGGTACTGTAAAATCTCCAGTCAGAGGTGGTATTTCTCCGAACTACTCAAAATTTCCGCTACCAGTTCTCCAGAACTGTTCAGAACCTGCTGAATACCACCTCTGGTAAATAGCAAAGACCTATTCTTCAGGTCATTCTGTCATACTAAAAAAATCCATAGAGAGTGGTTCTAACTTATTGGCCTAAAATTATTATTTATTTAAATCATATCCCATTTTTCTTCTTCTAAGAACGCAATATTGCTGTCACAAGATTCCCTCCCCTATTTTTTCCCATAGCAACAGCCCTTTTGGCTAGTTTGGATTAAGAGATACCTTTTAGAACATCTAATCCCTCCAGGGTAAGATCTGCTCCTACCCTCCCGATCTTCTGAAAACCTGGCTCTGCCAGTGGGCGAGTATCACCCTGGAAGTAGTTGATGGACTAAAAGCAGATCCCACCTCATCCCCTGCCTGCACACCTTGTTCCCGCTTTCCCCACCTTTTTACCATAACTTACAGTTTTATTGCTATATATATTTGTGTTGTTTATTGCTTTTAACTTTGTAAGCCGCTCAGATTCACCTTGTGCCAAAATTAATTAATTAGACTGGCCCCAAACTGATTCACTTAGGTAGCCAAGGATGGACTGGAACCCAGGTCTCCTTGATTTCCAACTACTACACAAAGTCTGACCACACCACACTGGATCTTAGCCTTGCTTCACCATGTCACTAAGTTCATGAGCTGTGGTAGCGCAGTGGTTAGAATGCAGTACTGCAGGCTAACTCACTGCTCACTGTCAGGAGTTTGATTCTGACCAGCACAGGATTGACTCGGCCTTCCAGTTCCATCCTTCTGAGGTGGGTAAAATGGGGACCCCCCATTTTATTGGGGGCAATATACTGACTCTGTAAAATGCATAGAGAGGGCCATAAAGTACTGTGAAGAAGTATATAAGTCAAAGTGCTATTGCTAATGCTATCATCATGTGGATTGCTTGCTGTTGGCTTCGTATGATATCTAAAATCAAATTGCTATAATTTGGTCATCTAAACATGGTTGTAAAAACCTTTATTCACATGAGGAAGACATGTGAAAACAATCTAAAATCCCTGTATAATCAATATGTACTGTTCATTGTTAATTATAATATGTTGGGTAATACATACTTATTTACTTACAGTACAAAATAGTCTGTTTTAAGTTATCCTGTTTACTTATTTATCCTTCTAGGAAACTTGCAAGGAAATATGATATGGTCCTTCAATTTTGCAGGAAACATAAAACTAGAATCCGATACATGATTTATGGAACACTAATTGCGGGTATGTATTATACATTCCGGAAAATAGCAATTTTATATAGAATTTGGGGTCTATATATTTTTAAAGTGTGAGACTAATGGCATAAAATAAAATCCATGTTATATTCCAGTCTAATTACTGCAATCTTCCCTGGCCATAAGACTATCTTTGCAAAAAGATATGCTCTCATTTATGTAAGACATGTTAGCTAAGGTGTAGACCAGTCAAGAGATATTGGAATTACACAGTTGGCTATTTTGAAAGTTCTATGCTGTTTGACAAACTGCTTTTTGGAACAATTTAATATGTTAGTGTTCAAATTCTGAAATGAATTACAGCCTAACTACCTGAATATACAGACAAGTGGCCTTGTTAATGTGCTTATCTCCTGTCTTATATTAATAGAAAAGAAAGGCTGCATAAATTGAACTGTTCTGATTGCTGAGCCTTATTTTGTCTCAGGAATAAAGCTCATAAGCTATATTCCTCTTATAGTTTTAATTGAGGACATCTTAAGAAAAGTGATTGATGGATTCCTCTGATTTGGTTTCTCTTCCCACTGAGCATCACTTGCTAGCAGGAAAAAATAATGACTGTTCTCCTAAACATATAGATGGGACAGGGTTAGACAAATTACAAAGAGTTACTGTGGAAGAGCTGGTCTCCTGGAGACAAGGATACTGTATCATTAGAGGTTTTCAAGCAAAGTTTGGACAGCAATTTTTGCCCGGATATTATGGAGACTCTTGCCTTGCACAAAGAATTGAATTAGAAGACTTCCAAGGCCAAGAGATATCTTCCTATTTCAAGTTTGAAGCAGATCACTGTGCATTGTGCAGTTGCTAAGTGAATCTGGCCTCCAACATTGATTTTGCTTGTCAAAAATCAGCTGCGAAGGTTACTAATGGTGATCACATGACACACTCCCAAGACAGTGCAACTATCTTCAATACATGCCAGTTGCCAAGCACCTGAAGTTTGATCACATGACTGTGGGGATGTTGCAACAGTTGTAAGTGTGAAAGCTGGTCAGAAGTCACTTTTTTCGGTGCTGTTGAGAAACTTTGAACAGTCACCAAAAGATGTTCTTCCATGTAGATGCTTTTCCTCCAATTTGTCAGTACCAAGGCAGACAGGATGTTGATAATTTGGTCATGAGTGGAACAATCATTCTCATTCTGTACTTCTGAAGAAGTAGTTTCCCCTTTTGCCCAATTAAAACATATCGTTTTAGGGAAAGGATGAAAAAAATGAACAGGTCTCTTACCACGATGGATGCAATGTGTGGTTAGATGGTATAAAAACATGGAGTTTTATGTAAGCACCTGTTTTATTTTTAAAAAATCTAAGTATTTCCAATATGACACAGAATTCATTCATTTAAAAGCCTAATCATTTCTGTTTAATTACTGGTGATCTGAAAATTACAGGTAACTCTTGCAGTTTTGTTTTTCTGTGGGGGAACAGGAGATGGAAAAATTTTGCATGCAGTGTGGACAGCTGTCATGATCTTGCTTTTTGTCCATTACAGCTTATCTGGCAATGGTGATTGCAGCCTGCATCTTGAATTTTCACAGAGCCTTGGCGCTCTTCATCCTTACTGTGCTAGCCATTTTTTTCATCTGTTGGGACTTTTTCATAGCCAGATATGAGAGTAGAATTGCAGAGTTGCTGTCTCCTTTGGGAAGATTTTTGAAAGCTCAATGGTTTTGGCTGAAATGGTAATTAAACAACTTTCCTTTTTTAAAAAAGTGAAAATGAGATTATGCACTTGTTTGTGGTTGTCAGTACTGTATAAATGCTATAAATTATGTTACATTTCATCCTAGCTATTTAAAAAAATGTCTAGTACTTAAAATCTTTAGAACGGAATTATCTAATCCAAGTACCAGAATGAATATATATTTGATAAAGTTCACACTTTTTCTTACAGAATGTTTATACTTGGTAATACAACTTTCTTAGCAGACTGATGTACAGGTAGCCCTCACTTAATGACTGGTCATTTAAGGACTGTTCAAGTTTATGGCTGATCTCCCCAGAGCTACTTAGGGCCTACTTTTGAACTTCCAATTACTGTAGCCCACCCGTCACCCCCCTCATATTTATGTGATTGCATTTTGGGCACTTGGAAACTGGCTCGCACTGATGGTTGTTTGCAGTGTCCCATGGTCACATTTTTTTGCCATTTCTGGTTTATTTTCAGTTTTTGGCAAAAAAACCTTCATCAGAGAAAACAGACTCACTTAATGACCATGATATTCATTCAATGATGTGGCATTCACTAAACAGTGGTTTTTGTCTAACAACTATTACAAAATATTGAGTGCACAACTTAAAATCACAAGCCCGGAGTCAATGACAGTCGTAAGTAAATGGCTATCTGTACCCAGAAATTTTGGGATTCCACCATATTCAGTGACGGGCAGAGCTAAAAAGAACTGTTCTGTGTCTTTCTGGCTACCTTTTTCTTCCCTGCCATTCATTTTACTATTTGGAAATTAAGCTTAGTTAAACTCTTGTAAAGCAATCCCTTAATCTGCATTTTAATGACAATTAGATACAGAAGTAAATTCAGAAGGCTGGGTTCCCTCCATTACTGGAAGCCAAATGACTGACTGACTGACTGACTGACTGACTGACTTACACTCTCTCTCTCTCTCTCTCTCTCTCTCTCTCTGTCTCTCTAGCAAAACTAAAAACACAATAAAAAAAAAAGAGAAAGAAAACCTGTTATTATTCATCAGAGTTATACTGCCACATTTTTGTTAAGGATACACACAAAAAGAAACAATCCAAAACCTCAAGGAAGTAGAGATTACTTAAATCTCTAATGGCTTTTTACCAGAAATCATTTTTCATCATCAGTTGCTGCCACTGACAACTTCTCCAATTGAAGTTGGTACTTCCAGTTTGACAGCTAAGAGTTTGAAAAAAACATCCTTTTTTTACAGTCCAAGGCCAACAAAAGCAGGTTATCAAGTATCCAATGGGAAGCAGTATATGGCTAGTGTGTTTTTAACAATAAATAGTTGTGAGGATGTGTGTATTGGAATAGTCTATGTGGAGGGAGAGGGGAGAGAGTGAGATACAGTCTAAAACAGGGGTCCCCAAACTTGGCAACTTAAAGACTTGTGGACTACCCAGAATTCTATGGTGGCTGAGGAATTCTGGGAGTTGAAGTCCACAAGTCTTAAAGTTGCCAAGTTTGGAGACCTCTGGTCTGAAATAAGGTGATGATCTTCCCCCTAAGTCATTCATTGCAATGTTTGAATACCTTTTCTCTAGGGTAGTGTGGATCATCTTAATAGTTGCTGTTGTGTGTTGGTTAATTTTTGATACTGCCAAGCAAGGAACCAACCAGCTTATTTCCTTTGGTGGCCTTCTTATGTACATTCTCTTGATGCTGATCTTCTCCAAGTACCCAACTAAAGTGAGTGTATTTACAATCTTTCATTTATATCTTTTCTTACATTTAATGTCTATTTGCAACACATTGAGCAGATGTCCAATAACATAGCTTATTCACTGTCCTTTTTTAGTATCTTTGTTTTATATATTTATTCATTGGTATTCTACCTTTATTATTTTTATAAATAACTCAAGATGATTAACATATCCAGCAAAACTTTCTCCTCCTATTTTCCCTACAACAATATTCTTATCAGGTGAATTGTGCTGAGAGAGAGTGACAGGCCCCAGGTTACCCAGTTTTCTTTCATGCTTATAGCAGGATATGAACTCATGGTCTCTTGCATTCTAGCCTGGTGCCTTAACCACTAGACCAGAGTGGCTCTGAAGACTGTATGTCCTCCAGACATATCAAGACAACTATCAAAATTCCCAAATAGAATGACATTTGTACAATTCTGGGAAGTATAATTTCAACATGCATGAAGGATACTAAATTGAGAACATTGGGTTGGATTAAACTATGATGTTTTTAAAAAAGCATTAAAAAGGACATAAAATATTTGTAAGATAAGGTAGGGCTTGGTAGGAAGGAATATATAAAATAGAAAGTTCAGTTTTCATCATAATGACTAACCCTAGACCAGTTTTTAAAAGTTTATCACTCCGGTTCACCCAAGGCTTTGTTGCAAGTTGAACAGCATCCATGGAAGATTGCTTAAGTTTTTTTTAAGATTGGGTGGCTGAGTAGATGAGTCTGTGGTTCCATCTGGTTGTAATAGAAAATTTGATCCTAGAATGTGCAACTTAGCTTTAGAGATAAGTTGGTTGCATATCCCAGTTCATACTGGATAATTCTGTGTTTGAAGGCATTCTCTATTTCAGAAGTGAGACAATGATCTTGTTGCATTGCACAACAGCTTATTGGTTTGTTTGTTTTTCAGGGACGGCACAAGCTGGCTAAGCCTATCTGAAGGCTTGCATGCTTCATTTATTTTGTATCTTGTTAGAAACTGGGATAAAAAGTACAATTAGTGTTCATCAATTTGTTGATAAATGTCAGCAACTGAAAAACCCCTCTATTTAAAGGCTGCTAGTCCAAATCCATTTCAAAATAAAGAGCTGCAGCAGAAGAGCAGGCAGAGCTGGAAGAGTTCAATGCATCATCAGTTTAAAGTCTCCGTGTTTCTACAAGAAACGCAAGCTCACCACCCCCTCGAATCCCATTGATCTTTATCTAGCACCAATTTATTGCTAACCTTTAGTTGATCAGATTCTTGTAAATAGGTTGGAAAAATAAATAATCTATGCTCAAACTCAGTGAATGATCCTGGTTCTTTGTGTCTGACAAGAGCCATAGGACCAGGAGTAGTTTTAAATTGCCCATCAACAGTAATGGAGACACACAATAGAAGCATCCTTTGGTCACACTTCTCTCTGCTATACTAAGATTTATTTATTTGTCATTATTTTTTATTTTTAATCTGGCACCTGTCCATTTAAATTAGCATATCCAAATAGATGGCAATCTCATTCTGGGTTATGCAGTCCCTTCTTATGTAGGGGTGAGAAAGTAGCAACCCCATTATGAGACAAACAAGGAGAAAGAACAAAAGTTGTGAAGATTTGCCAGCAGGGGAATGCTAACCCAGTATATCTTGCTTGCTTTTTTATTGCTTTTCCTTTTTGAACAAAATAAATATCGATCACCTATGTTACGTAAAATGAGAAGAATGTGATTTCATTACCAGAAAATCCAGTTCAATTTTTCTGTCTAGGCATTCAAAATCAAGGCAAAGCTTTCTTTTAGCTAATATATTCAAATAAGCTACCTTTTATCTCAGGACCAGGTGTATATCAAGGGATGTCCCAGAGAAACCTAATTCTGATAACAAACCCCAGAAACACTTTAATTTCTGAGGAAAATGACTAGATTGGTTTTTTTTTTTTAATCTAGAACCTGCTTACCCTTCCATAAGAAAAAGGAACTTTTATGAGCCCTTCATCTATGATATATTTTTTCCATTAGTCTTCATTGTCCTGTCTGGCCAATTTTGTGAAAGTTACAGGGAACACAGATAGAGCTATTCCTTTGAAAACTGTTAGGGCTTATGTAGGAGAGAGGGGTGGGGGAAAACCATGGAAAATCAGCAACCATTTGAAGTTACAAAGATGATGAAACAGGAGATTAAAAGTTGCATCTCCACTGATCATAATTCAGGCATTTTGCAACCAGCACTCATTTACAATGGTTGCGATGTCTCACAATCACGTGGTCGCCATTTGCAACCTTTACAGCCAGCTGTCGCCAGCAAAGTCAATGAGGAAGTTGCAGTAACTCTGTATTTAATAACTCATGGTGAGTCACCTAACAACCTCACAATTGGAACTGATGTAAATTGATGGGGTGACAAGATGATCCACTTAATGACTGCACCACTTAGTGAAAGTCGGCAGTCTCAACAGTAGCCAATAAGTGACACTGGGTATTTATTTATTATCAAATTTAGATCCCACCCATCTCTCTCTCTCAGAGTGATTGTACACTGAACAAGCGAAACCTACAACAAACATTGTAGTGTATCCATGTCCTTTATTGCAAATCTTTTTACAATAGAGTTCCATGAAATTTACTCTCCACTAAGATATTATAAACTATAATGTAACCTCTCCAGTACTTTCCAGAAGTATGGATCAGTTCCCAATATTCCTTAGCCCGCCTAGCCTTTATCAATAATTTTGGAATTGAAGCTCACTTGCTTGAAAAGCAACCAGATTGGGGAAGGTTTCTGGAAGAACTCAAACAAGCATAACTTTTCTCTTACTTTTAAATTTAATGCAATGATTTTTTTTAAAAAAATCTCCCCTTCTTTTGTAAACATTAAGAAATATGCAAATATATGTTCCACTCATTTCAGGCAGGGGCACTTATGTAGAATCACCACCTGCCATTTATTACAGTATTCAATGCAATATTGTCACATTTGAGCTGATTTTAAATCTGATAGTTTTGTTTTTCTTTATGTATGCATAGGTTGTATGGAGGCCAGTAATCTGGGGTGTTGCAATGCAGTTTGTTCTTGGACTTATAACATTGAGGACCAAAATAGGATTTGATGCATTCAACTGGCTTGGTAATCAAGTGCAGGTAAGAATAAAAGAGAACCTACTCATAATCTTTATTACAAGTGATCAGTTTATACCTGTTGGAGTCAAGGAGTACTTAGGAGGGGTGCCTTGGTGATGCTTTTTTTTTTACTTGGTCATTCATGCCTCTGCTTAAAGCATCTTTAGTAAGTAATGTTTCTTGATATGCTGATGAATTTTGCCATGGGCCAGGATAATTTTAAACTAGACAGATAATTGAACTGACTGAGTAAAATAGCAGCTATGGTATTTTGCTAATGACTCATTCCTGTGCATGTTCACTTATAATTAAATTTTGAATTCTGATTTCATATGGACTCATTCTCAAGAAAGATTAAGACAATTGTCTGCTTCAAAAAATATCAGAGAAATAATCAGATTTGTCCTCACTTGTGACCAAGTTTCACTAAGGATTTGCTGATAATTAATCTGCAATGGGCAATTTGATCTGCCTGTGCATCTTAAATTATAAAATGGTTAATGCTGCATGTAGAAAGTCACTTATAAGGCCAGAAATATGATTTTTAAAACTATCTTTTTTAATCTTGAAAAGAATAGAGATGAGCAGACTTTATCTTCATAAAGAAACATCTTAAAAGTACAGTCCCCATCTTTAATCCATACAGTTTGTAAATAGCACTTTCAATTACCACTTAAAGCTCAGTTTGTCCTCTAGGTAAGTGATGGTTTACTTAAGAAACCATATTTAGCTGGGTTCACAGATAGCATTAAACTAAAACAGCATGATGCAATGCTGGCAAACCAAAGAACTAAGAATCACACAGATTTCATAAACACATTCATAATGTGGGTTGACAACTGTAAGAAAAGTTTTGATTCCCATGGCTCTTATATACAGACTACATTGTCCTTCCTATAGTTTCTCACAACTAAACACATTGACAGACCACAATCACTTGAAAAAAACTCCACAATGTTTATTATCCAAACATTGGGTAATAAACTTCTGTTGGATATCTGAAATCCCAACCCAATGCTATTGGATTACAGTGTTATCCTCCAGTTCTCCAGTCAGTAGAAAAATGTTCCAACATGAATTGTACTTCCACATCTGCCACAGAAACAAAGCCAGAAATTGTGCTGGTCTTAGTATTTCAATGAGGGACGTGTTAAGGAAGTCAATTGGTGGATTTCCCAGTTTGATATCCCCTCTCATTAATCATTGCTAGTCAATGGCTAAATAGTCACCTAGTATTTTCCCTACAGTGGGATAGGGAACGGATGAACAAATATAGGTGCATGCTTGGAACTGCATGTTGAGCTGTTTGTCAAGATTCCTCATCAGCAGGTCTTCAGGGCATAGTTCATAGTTCAGCTTTTTCTAAGCACAGATTTGGTGTTCTTCTAGGAGGGGGGGGAAAGTAAATCCCTATTCAAAGGAAGCCTGGTTGATAGATAAAAGGTATGAAAGAGAGATGTGTGATGAAGCAGGAGGGAGCAACTGATAATAGATGAGCTATATGACCTCATGGTTGATCACACCCAGATGGCCATTGAGACCAGCAGTTGTGATTGACTTGCACATAATAACAACACCAATCCTCATCATGGCAACCAATGGCATCAACACTGGAATGGAATGGAGAAGATGGCAGTGTCCCCCTCAACCACCATTGCCAAAGTAATACAAACAATAACAATATGACCAAGCAAAACACCTGGTCAGTAGAAGACATCAAACACTAGCACTCCTTCTGTGTTAAAACCCCTTCTGACAATCGCTTTCATAGGTGCCAGTCAAGCATTACTTGGACAAATGCTACTATAGAAATAGGTCTTTCCTATAGCACAAAACAAAATAGTCAAGACAATTCCCAGTGACCAGAGAGAAGGTGTTCCTTGCAATTGTATAAAATGGCTGAAATTGCTTAGCAGATCTTGAGCCCTGGTTGTGTCAAGAGCTGCATCATCAATGAGGTATGCCATATTTCAACCATGTCAAAAGTTGGACTGGGGTAAAAGGAAAAGCTAGGAAAAAACTTTAAGTTGCATCAGCTCTGAACTTGTCACACAGTCACGGAAGAATAAAGCAGTTATTGGAAGCTATTCATGCTAAGAGTGGAGAACGTGAGGATGAACACCAAGAGCATAAAAATGCTCCTTTCATTGAAAATTAACAAGGAAAAAAGCAGCAAAAAACACCTTAAGCATGCCTGAGGCAAAAACAGAGGATTACAAACCACATTAATTTATCCTTAACCTAAGTCCTGCATCCTTTGAAATCATGATTCAGTAGTGGATTTCTGCAGGCATAATAACATACATTAGCTATTTAAATAGGCTGGTTCATACAGTTTGTCACAATTTGTTGCCCTTCTAATTTTCATCTTTCATAACCAATCTGTTAGAAATAGGGTACCTAAGAGAAGAGAAAAATCTCTGGAAAAATATTAAGCATTTTAACATAAGATATTACAATACTGTTGTACTGGAGCAAGATACAATTGTCTTCCTTTTCCCCATGTCAATACAAGTAATACCTGTAACTGACAGTGAAGCATGTTTAAATACAGCCTTTTCTTTTAAACATTCTTCTGCCATTACTACAATGCCCAAAGTCCCTCTCTGAGGAAAAGAGGGGGTGAAGAAATGTGATTGACAAATAAATAAATAAATAAATTTCCCAATTCTCTCCTTATGGAGGAGCCCTGTGTTTCTAAACAATCCCAGAATGTTTCCTTTGCAGATTTGCATTGATCTGCACAATTAATATGTATGAAGGACAGAGCTCATTATTAAACTAACTTCCTTGTTAGTTTTGATTTTTGAAATTCAGAATTAGTTTGAGGGTTCACATTTTTATTATAGAAGAGCCCTGCAGTCCCAAAGGTACTTTTTTCAGGAGGCAGCTAGATTTTTGTGGTTTTTTTCTTCTGAAGACATGTTGCTTCGCATCCAAGAAACACCTTCAAAAGAAAAAAACAAGAAAATCCAGTTGCTTCCTGACAAAGCACCTTTGGGACAACCATGACCTGGATGACTAAGACTCTCCATAGTATTTAGTATTTTTTAGTATTTATTTGATTTGTCAATCGCTTACAAGATACAGGTATAAGAATAAATATAGTTTTGAATACATGAGATAGATACTTATAAGAAAAATAAAAAACAATTGGACAGGGACAGTAGGCACGACTGGTGCGCTTATACACGCCTCCTCTTATAAGTGCGCTTATACAGGCCTCTTAGGAAGGAGGTGAAGTCAATAATGGACAGTCTAAGGTTAAAGTTTTTGGGGTTTGGGGAAGAAACCACAGAGTCAGGTAGAGTATTCCAGACGTTGACCACTCTGTTGCTGAAGTCCTATTTCCTGCAATCAAGTTTGGTGCGGTTTACCTTGAGTTTGTATCTATTATGTGCTCTTGTATTGTTATGGTTGAAGATGAAATATTCACTGACAGATAGGACATTGCAATATATAATTTTATGTACTATACTTAGATCGGACCAAAGGCAGCGTAATTCTAGATTGTCTAGGTCTAGAATTTCAAGTCTGGCGGCATAAGGTATTCTGCAATGAGTAGAGGAATGGAGAACTCTTCTTGTGAAATATTTATGGACTTTCTCAACTGTATTAATATCAGATACGTAATGCAGGTTCCAGACTGATAAGCTACAGTATATTCAAGTATTGATCTAGCAGATGTTTTATATGCTCTAGTTAGTAGCGTGATATTACCAGAGAAAAAGCTATGCAGGATTAGGTTAACAACTCTTAAACAATATGTTGCTTTATTTTTCCTCATGAAATTGCAGAATACATGGACTATATCACAAACACGAATCTCTGAATTTTCTTGAGACCTAGCAACGTTTCATTTACTTTTTATATTGGGTTAGGCAGGAGGAAGCAATTAAAGTTCCTTGGAACATTAAAAGTGTAGGGTGCAGAGATGCTAATCCCTGTGTGGACAAATAAAGCTAGATCAGCAGCTAAGAACCAGGAAGAAGAAAGATAACTGCCACTCCCACAGTGCTTATTATTTTTGCTTAACTTGAAGCTCTGAAAAGTTTGTCTTTCACTCTTGGGATTTCTATTTATGCAGTGAGTGGTTTGTATGTAAACGAAAACAAGAACAGCAATCTTTATTTCCACTTAAGAAAAAAAAAGTTGCCTGTGTGGTAGGATGCCTCACACCCAGCTTTTGACAACATCCTAAATCAGAGAGGAACTTATACTTTTTTTTTTAACCAAGGGACTTTCCCTTGATTCAGGAGTTCATGATTCATTAGTTCTTATTTTCAATTGACCTCACCTGGTGAGTCATACAAACCACTGCTTGAACATTGAATGTATAGTGACTGGTTGAATACTTGAGAAATAAGTGTCTTCAAAAAATTAGATTAGAATAACTGAGGTGGTGGGGATTTTTACCCTCAAAACAACTTATTCTTCCTCTTTCTCTTCCCTTTAAGATTTTCTTGGGATACACTGATGCTGGTGCTAAATTTGTGTTTGGTGAAAAGTATACCGATCACTTCTTTGCCTTCAAGGTAAATAGCCATTTTTGTTGTCCCTGGTTTACAGTGACCAAGTTATAGTGGGTAAGTTTACTAAATGAGTCAGTAAAGCACAGAACATTTTGTCTGCACAATATTTTCCTGAAAGAAATATTCCTGTTTAAAGTACTAGTCAGTTTCACCAAGTTCTTTGATGGGAGATGTATTATTTGGAATTGTCTGAAATACTATGATATACTAACCAAAGTCTCTTTTATATTTTTTTATTCCTTTCCTATATTTTTTTTAAAAGGAACTACTTTTTGAGTTCTCTTTTATTTCTACCTTATTTATTTCTTACTTCATATTAATTTTGATTAATTTTTATCTTGTTCTTAAAATTTTCAATAAAATCATGTTTTTTAAAGAAATAAAGGATAGCTGGTCTTTCTTTGGTAGCACTCAGGATTTGGAGTTCCTTCTCCAGATATTTTTACAAATCAAGCATGTTTCTGGAATGTATTATTTTAATTTATTTTGGCTTATGAACACTGACAAACTGTTTGATTACAAGATTGTTGTTACAGTATTTCAGGGTTGATCTTTTTGAAATTTATAACATAGAAAAGCATTTAGATAACTTAGAAACAGTTCTTAACAGATGTTTTGTCTTCAACTAGGTGCTGCCTATTATCATTTTCTTTAGTACAGTGATGTCTGTGCTATACCACGTTGGATTCATGCAGTGGCTTATTAAAAAGGTAACAGTGCCCTATGTACTTTGAGAAATGGAATGGAATGGAATGGAATGGAATGGAATAGAATAGAATAGAATAGAATAGAATAGAATAGAATAGAATAGAATAGAATA